CGTCTGCGCAAACGATTAAATCCTCTTGCTTGTTGCATCTCCTGGTCTGAGGACTGAGTTATTGGGGTGCAGCCTCCCGTGGATGTTGGGTACCCCAGCCTGGGGGTCCTACATGGCTAAAACTCATAATGTCCTTGGGCCTCTGTAGTCGTCAAAAGAGTGAAAAGGCAAGCCACAAAATAAGAAAAAATAGTTCCAATATTTATGTTTGTCAAGACTGGTGTATTTGTTACTTTTCTGTTGCTGTGATAGAAATACCATGACCAAGGGAATTTATAAAGGAAGAGTTTAAGCTGGGCGTGGTGGTGCACGCCTTTAATCCCAGCACTCAGGAGAGGCAGAGGCAGATGGATCTTTGTGTGTTTGAGGCCAGCCTGGTCTACATAGTGAGTTCCAGGTCAGCTGGAGTTACAGGGAGACCCTGTCTCAAAAAGACCAAAAAAAAAAAAGAAAAGAAAATCAGTCAATCAATGAAGAAGAAAGAGAACATGAAGTTATCAGAAAAAAGTGATGGGGAGATATGGGAGGAGTTGGAGGGGAGGGAGTGGGCATGGATTTGATCAAAACACCTTATATGCATGTATGAAATTCTCAGTACATTGTCTAAAGAAAGAAAAAAGCCACAGAATAGAAGAAAAGGTTTGCCAGTCATGTATGCGACTATATGAAGGTCTTGTTTCTTGGTGCAAGTGTGTAGGGGGGTACATGTGCACATAGGTACACGTGAGTATGGAGGCCAGGGGACAACCTTGGGTTTTGTTCCTCAGTCACTGTCTACCTTATTCTGAGACATGGTCTCTCATTGGCCTGGAGCTTGCTAATTAGGCTGGCAGACCAGCGGGCCCCCAGGATCTGCTGTGTCTGCCTCCCCAGTAGCACTGGTGTTACAAATGTATGGTGTCATGCCTAGCATTATTATGCAGGTTGTGGGGATCAACTAAGCCATCTCCCTAGCCCTATAAAGGATGCTTATAATTAAAAAAGCAAGAGGAAAAATAACCCAGTAGTGAAATCGCTTTGAAACCTGTTCAAGATTTGAAAAATTTAAAGTTGGGCTGAGTCTTTTGCACTACTTTAATTTAGAGTAAGCTACCACTCTGGTGGACATGAACCCTGGGCAGGGGCTTTTTATTGTGGCTCCTCAATATGAAACAAATCCAAGGTCCTCCAACTGATCACTCATGCTCAATAGCTTTGGTGAAAACAAAATTCAAAACAACATTTGATCCTAATACAAATTTTCCAGAGAAGCAATCTGAGACAGGCGTGTGTTTTATATACAGCAGACTGTATATAAGTATATAAATCATTGTGAAATGAGCAAGTCTTCAAGTCAGTTCCCAAGATATCAAGAGAACGTCCAAGGCCATGCTGCTGATGAGTTGTACAGCCAAGATTTGAGTCCAGGCATCTGACTCTGGAGCCACTTCTGACCATGACCTGCCACAGGTGATTTCTAATCTCTGGCCAGGTCCCCACACTAGTCCTGTTTTATGGCAGGGCCCAGTGAGCAGTGTTTGACACCAAAGCATATAGCGATCGTAGGACCACATAAAGGCTCCATTTATGTCTCTCCTGGGAGATGTGAGTTTCCTGAAGACACAGGGAGGTGGGGTGAGGACAGTCCAGTGTAATTTGTTCATTTAGGGCTGGGTTGTAGATCTGCAAAACTGGTGTTGGAAGGGTGTCCTGAGGCTCTGCTGCTCAGGTTCCCTAAACAGAAACGTAACATGGAGGCTGCTGGCTTTTGCAAGGACCGGAGAACAAGGACTTGATGTTTCTGCTCCTGGCTTAGCACAGGGCCATGCTGGGTCTGCCTGCTTTGATGGTAAGACTGTCTGCTTTCAGGAGCCAGCCCACATGGGCGGGGCTCATTCTAAGTGTCAGAAGCGATCCTCTTTCTCTATGTGTGGGTCAGCTGACATCACTCTGGCCAGACATTTGTGGGCATCTATTCAGGGTTTGGCCAAGAACAGGAATGGCCCCTTTGCCTAACACAGCAACGGTGAAGGTACCATGCCGTGTAAGTAGCTTGTGTTAAGCTGAAGGCACAAGGGGAAGAGGAATGACAACTCCACAAATGCTGTGACCTTTCAAGTTAAATCCATGACACCTCACTAAGAATTTGCCTCTAGGAAGTGGTCAGGAGAGCAATGGTGGCAATATAGTAGTGGTTACCATAGCAACAATAACTTATCTTCCTGGGTATCTGCAGGCATACGGCTAAGAACTTCACAAGCTCACTTCACTGAGTACTCTCAATCACTGTAAGACAGTTTATGATTTACAGAAGGAGAAACGGAGGCTCAGCAAGGCCTGTTCATAGCGTGTGGTGGTCGGAGACAGAACTTGAACTCAAGTGTGTGAGTGCATAGCTCAAATACTGAAACACTGTGATGAGGCAAAGGGGCAGCCAAGATGGAAGAGAAATTAAGGAGCTTTTGCACTGGACTCTGCAGTTCTGGGGTGTTCCCCAGTAGACAATGGTGATGATGGTTTCAAAGAACAAAAAGCAAGAGATCCCTGTGGCCTGCAGCAAGAAGGACTAGGGGAGCCCAGAAAGAGGGCCTGGTTCAAGGGGTGGCAGGCAGTAAGGCCTCCCCTTGTGGTGGCTTCATGAATAAACAAAGTTCATAGTCACACAAATATTTTATACTTCCCTCCTGGGCTCTGGACTTGTTCATATGGCAGGGCCAAGCTGACTGGCCTGGCAAAGGGGAAAAGCCTGGACTCATAAGGCAGGCTGTGGAACTCCTTCTGGTTTGATGCAGCCAGAACAGCTTCATGTGTCTGCTTAGTTTTATGATGAATGTTTAGAATTACCAGCACCTTCCATGCCCCAAGATAGCATTTCCTATCATGTCTGCTTTGTGCAAAGCTCTGGAACATTCTAGGTGCCTCTTCCAGGGCTCAGTTTAGGCAAGTCGTCTCTGTGTGGGGGATCACCACCTCTGCTTCAGTGGTGAGCTTGGTGGCCATGCCAGAACTTGGGAATGCTTACCTCATCTGTAGAGCCATTTTCCACTCGGAATCTTCCAGCTCTTTGGATAGCTCCATCAGCATCACTGGAAATAAGCTAGGGAAGAAAAGAGTTTTCAGTTAGGTAGCTGGGTCTCCATTTGCAATGCTTTCAGTCTGTGAATTTCCCCTAGAAGTAGCCAGCTCTACCAGCCTGAGCTGGTAGGCCCAGCCTAGAAGACAGATGTCTATCATAGGCCTTTTGACCTTAGGAGTCCAAGAACAAGGCTCACCTACCCTGAACATTTTCGCAGACAGAACAACATTAAAGCGATGATCCCTGCAAAAACAGTCTTAATCCACACCACATGTGGACAAGTGGCAGCCCGCAGATGGCAGAACTCAAAGCCAAGTCTCAAGCTCGACCGCCTTCCTGGGGAACGCTAAAGAATGATTAGTAGCTGGCATGCACTCAAGGCGTCACCAACATCAGAAAAGCTCTTGTGCTTCTTTCAATTTTAAACAGTTTCCAAAAGGTCCTTTCAAGGCTGGCTGTGTTTTGAGTGTTGGCAAAGGGTGTCAATTCCAACTGGACAGCCTTTAAGGAGCGTGGTGCTAGAAAGAGGTGAGTGGAAAGGAGATGGGACCTTGGCCTGTCTGCCAAAAAATCATTCTCAAGACCGTTTCCTTCTAGACCTCTCAAAAGCAACATAGGAAAATGACATATCTTTTTTTCCTATTATTCTATTTTTTATGTGTATGAGTGTATTGCCTGTATGTATGTAAGTGCACCCTGCAATGCCATGGAGATCAGAAGAGGGCGTCAGATACTCTGGAACTAGAGTTGTGAATGGTTGAGAGCCAATATGTGGGTGCTGGGAATTGAACCCAGGTCCTCTGCAAAAGCAGTCAGTGCTCTTAACTGCTGAGCCGTCTCTCCAGCCCTTTTGTAATATGTCACATGGGCTCTTATAGTCACTATGTATTTTTAAAAAATAAAAAAGAAGCTGGGTGTGGTGACACACACTTTTAATCCCAGCACTTGGGAGGAAGAGGCAGAATAAAAAAGAAATAGCATTTGTTTTTTTTAAAAAAATGGGAGTGGTGGCACAGGCCATCAATCCCAGCACTTGGGAGGTAGAAGCAGGTGGATCTCTGTGAGATCCAGGTCAGCCTGGTCTACACAGCCAGTTCCAGGCCATCTGTGGCTACAATAACATATCTTTTTTCAACCCTTCAAATCTATGCATAGTATGCAATAAAGATCTGCCAACAATGTCTACATTCCAGACTTCTCAGAACTCACTTGCCCGGAGGGCCACTTCTCACCACACCAACTCAGAGCTCGCCCCCAAATCAGAAATGCAATTTCATAAGACTGCTGCCTCATATTTTCAGCTGTTTAAGAGACATGATGGTGTGAAAACAAAGGAAATGTTTTCAGAACCACTCCCACCCAATACACAAAAATTTCCCTAAAGAAAATTGTTTGAAAATGATAGATTTTTTTTCTCATTAAATATAAAATAGTATCCAGGTTTCATTAATGGCACTTCTATGTACCATGCACTCTTCTGGTCTTAACACATATTATTTCATTTAATTTCTATAACAACACAGAGTAGGCACTATTATTAATCTTAATTTTAAATAAGAAAACTAAGGCGGAGAAAGGTAAAAGTCACAGTTGAGGCTACATGACTAGTTGACAGAGCAGAGCTGGGGTGTGACAGAGGCAGCAGGCCACAGAAGCTGGGCATCCTCCTCTAAGCACCATCTCATTTAGAAGGCCCACTACAAGGTCCAGGTTTTACTACTAATTGTCAGCCTGCAAAGTAATCTCTGAACACACAAGGTTTCTATGTATATATTGCCAAGGTATATCCATAGTGTCAGAAAGCAGTGAGCAAAAGAATTTCACCTTGTCCAAACAGGGGTGCATACCTATGATCTCAGCCCTCAGGAGGCTAAGGCAGGAGGATCTTGAGTTCAAGGCCATCCTTGGCTACACAGCTCCTTTCTCAAAAAACTCTCAGCTCCTGGGAGATGACTTCTAAGCTTTAAGAGCTTCAAGTTATACTGGTGAGTAATAAGCAAGTAGTTCAGGGTGGGGGCTTTAGGTCACATATGCTAGCTCCTCCTCTGGAGGGTCTGGAGCTAAGTGAATGGTGGGATCAAGCCTCACTAGAAACCCAGCAGGCCATTCTGACTGGCAGGGCTCCATGTAGACTGTTACACAACATGACTGGGACAAGCCAGGACACCACTGGAGAGAACACCTGGAAATGCTGTGCTGGGATTCTCCTGCATGCTGCCCTGTGCTGACTTGAGTCTATGTCATAAACCTGAGTATGCTAGCAGTGTTCAGTGAGTCCTGAGAGTCTTCTTAGCATATCATCAAAACTGGGGGACACTTGGAGCACAAACTCGGCAGGTGATGTCAGAAGGGAGGGTGATCTTGTGGACTGCTCACTACTGTTGTGGAGGCCAGTTCTGAAGTACAAGCAAAAGATAAAGTTAGGTCTCCAGGGACACTGCCGTTCTCGCAGGGCAGTTGGGGAGACATCAGTGTGGGTTTCTTCTAGCCAGTAGGGCCTCTGCTCACTGTTGAAGTACAGGGAACAGCAGAGAGGACTCAAGTGTGCAAGCTGCTGCAAGGGCTTGGGAGGAAGCAAGGGGGATCACATCAGGAACGGAGTACCATAGTCAGTCCATAATGTCTCTCCTGAGGACAGGAAGGGGCAGGGTCCCATCCCCTTTACTTGTCACTCCTGACATACGAGTTGGTAAAGTCCTCACCATGGCTAGCCTCATCTAGGACTCTGTAGGAGAGCTGATGCTCATTCAGGATTTGCTCATATGGCTATGGGACAAGCAGGCATTAAATGTTTACCACGACAGCCCAGACACTGCCAGGCACAGGCAGTCTCACCCTTCCCTTTGCTGAGAGGCACAGTGCTTGTCTCAGTGGAAAGTCGAAGAGGAAACAAAGAACACAATTCATGATCTAGTGGTTAGGAGGGAGTCAGCTCCTTCTGAACTCAAGAGTCACAAAACCCAGAAAGATGCTTAACTCAGATCTCGGGCTAAGCCTCTGTCCCCCCACCATTTCTCCACTACTATCTTCATCCAATGCACTGTCATCTCTTACCTGGATGCCTACAGCTGTCTCCTGACTGGTCTAGTCATCCTCCACCATGGCATCTTTCCAACCCACTCTTCAGGCAATAGTAGGTGCATATGACAGATCCCAAATGCTTTTGGCCCACGATCCCAACTCTCTGCAGCACCACTTCTTCCTGCCAGAGGGCAGTTACAAACCAGAGCTCCATATCTGGATGTCCTGGCACCTCCTGTATATCCACCCAAGTCCCCACTGCTCCAAGACACTTTCCCTGACCTCCCTGCCTGGGCAGAATTGTGGTTTCCATTCTTTCCTGGGATTACTTGGTTTGTATGGGTCCATCCTTGGGCATACCCTCTGCTTCCCAATGTGCTTCCCGAGGACAGTGACCACATTCTTTCATTGTCACCACTGCATCTGCAGAGCTAAGCATGCTGTTGTGGTATGGGCATTCACCGAGTATTTATAGACAATATGTGACTAGGTGAATGCCAAAATCCACAGCAAATGATGGAGTATAAGAATGGAGCTAAGTAAGCCCCAAGGCAGAGGAGGTTTGTTACTCATGGAAGAAATGCCCAAGACATTCTATTGAGTCTCTCCAATGGGAATGACCATAAGAAGGAAGGGCCAAGCCACCTGAATCACCATGTGCCAGAGCGCAGAGTAACCTAATCAATGCAGGTTTAAGGTAATGCCACTGCACGTGAGCTACAGGGCCTTCCCAGGGGGAGTGAGGGTTGGGTGGGGGCTGGGTTGGGCGTTCTGCTAGTCACATGCAGGCTGGAGCACAGGGGCCATCCCAGGGAGGCCTGCCTGTAGTTGGCTTAGCACCTGTGGTGCTCAGTGCCTATGAAGACGGTCATATAGCTGACGAGAAGCAGAATGCCCCAGCCAACTGAGGGACAAACAGAACAAAGCAAAACGAAACAATAAAAAATACAAACAGTTAGGGAAATCTTTTAACACAGTAGAGAGGCTGTTGGCTAGGAAGCTTCTTTCAATCACTCTCCACAAACCTCTGATCTGGCCAATTAAATGCATAGAATGTCAACACCAATCCCTTGTTAAAAGACTGGATTCAGGAAAGACTTGGTCTCCCCCTAGAATCCATCTAAACACCCACAGCTCAACTTAGAAACTCTCTCTTCAAACTCATCCCAGACAGGACAGTGATCTATGTGCTAACAAGTTCCACTCATGCTGTCCCCCACACTGTCATAATCGTGCCTGGACACAAGGCTGGACCTCATTTCTCGAATGGTGGCCAATCACCTGACTTGATTTTCTCCACCTGGAGGTGAGCCAAAGTCCTGGGTAGCAGTCACAGAGCCACGTTCAGTAGGGAGGGTGCCTCTTCCCTGGGCTTATTTCCCCTGTCATTGGCCAGAATCCCAATGACCAGAGAGGCCACGCAAGTCCATGTGAAGATTAAGTCATCCTAAACCTGGGTGTGAGGTGCAGAGCCAGCACCCATATTCACAGTAGCTAGCCTAGTGTGAGGAGGAATGAACTAGGTTTCACTGCACTGTGATGGTTGAGACCCATCCCTACCCCATGTAAGGAAGAAAGGCACTCATCTTGTGACAAGTTCACAACAAAACGTGGAAACTAACCTAACATACCAGAGTACGTGCTCTGCCAAGTACGTTTACCACAAAAAGCACAATAGAATTTTAGAAAATCTCTAACTACTGTAGTAATTTGGCATGCTGGAAGATGAAAATAGAATGACTTTTGACCATGACCAACTTTCAAATGAAAAGCATTAATTTCTTTTCTTTTGGAGACAAGGTCTTGTTTATCCTGGGCAGGTCTCAAACTTGCTATGCAGATGATTGGGAGGTTAAGCCTTGAACTTCTGAGCCTCTTGCCTCCCCCTCTTGCATGCTGGGATTATAGGCATGTGCCTCCATGTCTGGTTAAACTCATGACCCTGCGCATGCTAGGCAAGCACTCTACCAACTTAGCTACATCTCCAGTCTTAATTCCTG